CACACACAAAGGTTCTACCAGAATCTTGAAGCCATATCTTTTTGACAATCCTAGCTATTTCGCGAGGTCCGATTCTCAAGATTCTGGGAAAATCGGCCAAAAGAACTGGGCCACATCTCTTCTGGTAGTATATGAGTTTGACGAGTTTGACACTATTGGACATTTGCATGAGTTGCGAAATATAATGGTTAGTAGGCCAGTTCTCATAGGACTCATGCTTCTCTTTCACTCTTTGTCTTTCTCAGTCTTGTATTGATAGTTTATGACATACTTATTCACTCTATTCTTTTGCCAACTCACTAATTGGAAATCTTCCATTTTTATTCTCATTATCTAGGTGTTGGCAAGAGTTGCCTCCTCCTACGGTTCTCTGATGGCTCCTTCACTACTAGTTTTATTACTACAATAGGGTATTTTATGTTCAGAAGCTTTCTAGTTTTCATCACAGGCACTGTCAGAGTGTCACCCCTGTTTGTATAAAATATTTGGGACTGTCTGCCCTTACTTATTTAAAATCATTCCTATGTGAAGTATTGACTTCAAGATAAGAACAATTGAACTGGATGGCAAGCGCATTAAGTTGCAAATTTGGGATACAGCCGGTCAAGAGCGATTCAGGACTATCACGACAGGTGCAGTGCTTGTTTCGCTCTGTGCTAGAGAGTAATTCTATGAAGCTTATATGAAAATCCTTTTCTCAAGTGAAGTTAATTTTTTCTCAGCATACTACCGGGGAGCCATGGGAATCTTGCTTGTTTATGATGTCACGGATGAGTCATCTTTCAACAGTACTGTCCTTCAGTACACTCTTCAAGCTTCAGTGTAGATAACTATGCTAAAATTTTCTTTTTTTGTATTGACATTTGAGTTTATTTTTTAACATACAGACATACGGAACTGGATACGCAACATTGAGCAACATGCCTCTGATAATGTGAACAAAATTTTGATAGGCAACAAGGCTGATATGGATGAGAGTAAAAGGGTACTGATCTAGGCATCATCCTCCCTCTATATGTTATCTGCTGTTCTTATTGTCTCTACTCCCTAGTGAATGCATCACATTCTAGAAATGTACACACTTCAACCCATATGCATGTAGAGAAGATTATAGCCCTCATTAGGCTACTTATCA